ACTGGGATTGAGATTGTTAGTGAGTTTCCTGAGGTGTTCCCAGATGATGTGTCGGGATTGCCACCTATGCGTGATGTTGAGTTTAGCATTGATCTAGTACCCGGTGTAGGACCAATATCAGTGGCTCCTTATAGGATGGCTCCAGCTGAGTTGGTAGAGCTGAAGAAACAGATTGAGGATTTGTTGGAAAAATAGATGGTGAGGCCCAGTGTTTCTCCTTGGGGTGCAGAGTATGCTTTCTAGATCTTTTTACATCACTTGTTCCTTCATGAGTGACTTGCAAAGTATCCCACATTTCTTTAGCAGATTTGCATTGTGATATTCTAAAAAATTCATCAATAGACAATGCAGATGTAATAATGTTTTTGGCTCTATAGTCATATTGGGCTCTTTTCTTTTCATCATCACTCCACTCACTCCAATGTTTTTCTTTCTTATCATCATCTTTTGTCATAGGGATATAGGGTCCATTTTCTATTGCATTCCATACAGCAATATCAATTGCTTCAATGAAAATTCTCATCCTAATTTTCCAGTAGACATAGTTTTCACCATTGAAAACAGGAGGTCTATGAATAGACACACCCTCACCATAAGGTAGGTTGCTATTGGCCATTTTTAAAATCTTAAATAGCTCTCAAGAACCTTGCTCTAGATACCAATTGTTAGAAAAGAATGGCACAATCCAAGAGGGGGGGTGAATTGGATTCAATGGCACTTTAAGAATTTCAGAGTATTTAGGATCTTTATTTCAATTAAACTTTTCTAAAAATGAATTTTCAATGAAGTTTCTTAAAGACTTGTTATAGAAGAATGAATCCTATATGCTTTCTTGATTAACAAATAATGGTGTTCAAAGATAATGTCAATATGTAATGCTTTGATTCAGTTCAGACCAATGTTATTCATGCACACATATTAACCAAAAACAATCTTCTTTAATGCTCAATCAAGAAATTACACAAAGTAAAAGATAAGGGTAAGAAGAAGATTGCACAAGTCTTTTATCCTGGTTCAGCCACTCCACATGTGACCTACATCCAGTCCTCAATCACAACCTGATCAAGATTTGTTCCACTATCTTAATGAAGAAGGTTTACAAGCATACCACACATGCATATACTCCAACATTCAAGATAACCCCTTTCTTGACCCCAAGAAAGCACCCCTTGTAGAAACCCACTACAAGAATCCTTACCACTTGAGAAACCCTCTCAAGATTTTACAAGTATTCACAAAGAATTAAGGAACGAATTCACCTGGAATTCAGAAGCAAATCTTAATCTTTTCCCTTTCAAGAATGTGATGATGATGATGATTCTTTCTCAAAGATTTTCTCAAACGTTTTTCTTCTTGGATTCACAAAGAAAACTCTCCAAGATCGTCACAAAGACTTTACAAAAATGCTTTTCTAATTTTGATTCTCAAATTTAACTCTGTTCTGAAGTTTCAAAAAGTTCAAACTATTTATAAAAGTTTCAGAACCAGATAATCGATTATTTTAAAGAATAATCGATTATTTTGTTCTTCAGGTTTTCTGGAAACCAACCAAGAACAATATAATCGATTATTTTGCTGGATAATCGATTATTCCAGAGAGTCATTTATGGGATAATCGATTATTTCACAAATAATCGATTATTGCAGCAAGGCATCCCATTTTGCCTGTTGCTGGAATAATCGATTATATTTAAACGACGCCATCCCAATACTAGCATGAAAGCTATTATTATATGTAAACTCTACCAGCGTAGGACCTCCTCCTAGCTACCCAAGTGGTCTAACACACAAGCCCTCAGCAAATCCTCCAAGGACTGGATTGTCCTTTCTGACTGACCATGCGTCTGCGGATGATAAGCAGAACTCAGCTTCAGCTTCGTGCCTAAGGCTTGATGTAGACTCTGCCAAAATCTAGAAGTGAACCTCGGATCTCTGTCTGAAATAATACTGGAAGGCACCCCGTGCAACCGTACTATTTCCCTCACATACAACTGCATCAGCTTCTCCAAGGACCACTTGATGTTGACAGGCAAGAAATGCACACACTTGGTCAACCGATCACTATTACCCAGATAGCATCACTATTCCTAGCCGACCTAGGCAACCCGATGATGAAGTCCATAATGATACTATCCCACTTCAATTATGGAATCTTCATCTGCTGCATCAACCCACTCGGCTTCTGATGCTCCACCTTTGCCTTCTGACATGTCAGAAAGGCCGCCACATATTCAGCTATCTCCCTCTTCATACCAGACCACCAGAAAGTCTTCTTGAGGTCTTGGTACATCTTAGTCATACCAGGATGTATGCTAAGTCTGCTCTTGTGGCTTCCTCCAACACAGCTTTCTTCAGCTCAGCATCCTAAGGTAGGAAAATTCTGCCCTTGAACCTCAAGATTCCATCTTTGCCCAACTCAAAACCAACAGCCTTCTCGGTACCCAGCAAACCAAGAAGCTTCACCAACTCAACATCTTGCGGGTCAGTTGAGTCAAAGGCATTACTATTCGAGAAAAACCCTCAATGAATCTCCGATAGTAACCCGCCAACCCAACAAAACTCGTAGCTAATCTCCGTAACAGTCCTTGGACGCTCCCACTGATTCACAGCCTCCACCTTGGCTGGATCCACTACAATCCCCTCTGCCGATATCACATGCCCCAATAATTTCACCTCAGACAACCAAAACTCACACCTGGACAGTTTGACATACAACTGTCTCTCCCTTAGCACCTCCAAACCAACCTTAGATGCTCACGGTGATCCTCCAAAGATCTAGAATACACCAAAATATCATCAATGAAGACCACCACAAACCTGTCCAAGAATGACCTGAAAATCCTGTTCATGTAATCCATGAACATCGCTGGAGCATTAGTGACACCGAAAGGCATCACTACATACTCATAGTGACCATACCTAGTCCTAAAAGTTGTCTTTGGTATGTCCGCAAAATAACCTCCACTATTTATCATTTTTTTTGTAGTGATATGATCGTGTTTGATTCAACATTGATTATATGTCAAACATAAAGTGGCTTAAATTTAATTGGAACAATGCCAATTTTTTAACATTTCATCCAAAACTGAGGAAAAAGTCATGACAAGAACTAAAAGCAATGAAAAAATATTATAAGAATCAAAATTCAAGCAATATTTTTTTATGAAAAAATGATATTTAAGTTTAATTTTATTAATAAATATAATATTTTAGAAAATCAAACCACCCAATGGTCAATGTGCAACTTATTTGTGATATCATAGATATGTTATTTGTAATATTTTCATTGATTTTTTGGGTAAATCATTAAATACAAACCTTTATTGTTTCTTGGATATTCCTTGATTCTCTATTGTTTTATTGTTTTCAATATTTATTATACATTTTTTATTTTAAATAATTTAATGTCATCTCCCCTTAATTGTGTGTTGCCTTCTAGCCATAATCGTTGTGTTTGATAGCTTGTCAAATTAAACTTGTCTCCATAATTTTTCCAATGCTCATATTTAATGTATAGTTGAAATCAAAAACAAAAATGAGTAACTATATTGAAATAAAAGGAATCTCAACTGGCACCAAGTCAATTGGTTTAGCCTCATGAACCTTTTTATCATAATAAAAAAAACATTAATTAGCTTTTATTTAATGATATAATTTTCTTTTAATTTTACATTAAATATTATGCATTTGTGTTTAGACTTTCTCACAAAGTCTACCAAGTAAAGTCATCTTTTAAATAATAATTACTTGGCGCGTATAAATAGATTTGTCTTCTCTCTACACTATATAAAAGTCTATCTATTTTGTCAAATTGGATTCTTTAACACACCTTTCTTACTTGGAGCAGTAGTGTGCAGGTAGCAATTTCTTCTTCTTGTTGTTTAAGGATTTCCCTCATTTTTCTTTATTGGTGCAATGGTTTTATGACTTTATGTTTATACTAGTATATATTGATTTTGTTTTGTGGTTGGATGGTGGTGAGGATTATAGTGTTTTTCAATGTTTCTACTGCTTTGGGGCTCAAATTTCAATTTTTACAAGATAGATACTAAGTCAATAAGGATATGGAACAAATTATCGCATATCTAATGGATGTGGGTTTGAAATGCCCTAATTTACTAAATTTTACTTGATGGGTAACTTTTTCTACGGAGATCCTTTGGTTCCTATAAGCTAGTTTTGAGTAATTGTAATTGAGTAAAACATTGTAATTTAGGTTAATTTGTATAGCAATCCTCTAGGTGGGTCTTTGCTTGTATCTGCAACACCATTGACACTTGCCTATTATTATTTGCGGCATTCTCAGTTTTACCACTATGAATATAAAAAGGGGGAGAGAAAGAGGAGAAAAGTTAGGGTTTGATCAATTCTATGATCAGCACTTTGTTTGTTGTTTGTGGATACTTATAATTAAAAATAAGAATTTACTTATCAATAAGGTCAAAGTGTAAAATTGGGTTGAGCTAATTGGCCTAAATTTATGCAAATTTAATTACCCGAATTTCCATTTTCGTGAGATTGCACAAACAAATTCTACTTTTTCCTATCTCTGTAATAACATTTCTTAGTTGTTCAAAAAATATTACATCGACATTGTTTAAATATTACATTAACCCCTTATAAATTGTTTGAAATGCATTACACTATTATGAGGGAGGTTATAGTAAACATTAAAAAAAATATCAATGCAATTTCACGAAACCTTAAGAGGTGTTAATGTAATTTACTTTTTTATTTATATTATCTTCTTAGGGTGTTATATATATTTGAAAAAGTTAAATTTTTTTCTTAATTAACGAATTATCATTGTTCCCTTATATTCTTCTGTCAGTTAACATGCAATAAGTAAGACATGTTTTGGACAAAGAATATTATTAGTTTGGATTAACACTATGTTGTTAGAAATATCATAAATTTATAGGTTTTAATTATTTTTCATTAATTATCTAAATATATTTATACATATCTCTCAAATTTTATGAGCTTAATAGGAAAACATCAAGTATTTTCATATACAAAATGGACCCCAACAAAACAAGACCTATTTCAGATGCAACCAACATTGAGGCAAGTGGATGGAAATCTAAGCGTCGTAACATGATGGTGAAGAAAATGTAAGAAACATTTATTTACTAGAATATTAATATATAAAATTGTTTGTAGTTATAACATTTGATAAGCCTAATTAGTTTATGAGATTGTAATCCTTTTTCTTATCTTACATGCAACCATGGCTTTTTGCATAATGGAAATCAACTTTCTTCCAAAGCTTCATTTTTTTACTCATTTTAGTTAGAAAAATAAAGATAAATTTTATAGAGGTGGTTTAGGGGTACCCACACTCTTATATAGATACAAAATGTAATAGCCCAAACACACTAGAATGAGAGAGATCCAAAGATTTGTACAAGTGTGAGATTGTGTAGTTTAAGCGTATTTGACATGGAGTGATTTAAGGATTGGTGACTTCTAGAAAGTTGTCCAGAAAGTGTGCCAATGAGGACAAAATACGTTGAAAAGTGTTTTGTTAATTTGTGGGATTAGTGGTTGATTCTAAAAGCAGACAAACATTTCAAAAAGGGGCTACTCATGGAAAATTATGAATAGTGAAGTGTTTTAATTAATGAGAAGTTGTGTGAAGTGTCATGCAGTGTGGTTACTTAAATGTCAAATCTAATGAGTGTTACAAATGGTATCAAAGTAGGTCTTCTCTCCTAGTATGATGTGGTTTAGGGATGAACCAAGCAGAGGCTAGTGAGCTTGTAACATCCCAAACATACTAAAATGAAAGGGATATAGAGATTTGCATAGGTGTAAGACTGAAGTTGAGGAAAGCTTAACGAGGTTAATTTGTACTACCTATACCAACAAGATGCATATACTTTTAAGAACCTCATCACTTAACAACTCCACAGTTAAGCATGCTTAACATGAAGCAATTTAGGGATGAGTGACCTTTTTGAGAAATTTCTCCAAAAGTGTGGGAGTGACGACAAAGCACATTGAAAAGTCTTATGTTTGTTTTTGAGGTCATTCGTTGTCCTAAAGGTGAACAAACATCTTAGAAAGGGATACCCATATAAAGTTTTGACCAATGAAGGATTTTGAACAATGACAAGGTTTGTGAAGTGTCATTGTGTAGAGTGTTGTAGAGTGTAGCCACTAAGATGTTAAATCTAATGAGTGTTACACAAAAGAACTTTTCTAAGACCTTCAGTCCTATCAACAAAATTTTTCATACCTCTTTGTACAAACTATAAACATATATACCTTACTATCTATATCTTTGATACTATACTATTACAAGTTACTCAAACATTCCATTAGATTCATCAACCATTTAGAAAAGGAAAAAGGAGAAAATCTTAATCTTGTTAAACAACCATTCTGGTGATCTTACCTAATCAAATTAAGAACACATTTAATGTTAGGATTCATATTCTTGAAAATATTATTATTTTTGTATAACGATAAGGACCAAACGAAGGTGAACCAAATAATTTTACATGCTTTACAATTCTCACAAAAAAAAAATACACATGTTTGTTGTAAGAAGTTCCACTTGGACTCCATTAACAATACCATGTTAAATCTCTTATGTGCTCTCAAAGTATTATAAAATACTTCATCTAGTTATGAATATTAGTGAAAAATAATAAATAAATAATTAAATAACTCATTCATGTTGTTTCAAATAAAAGCAAATCTCAACAAAATTTACTCTATTTGATGCTAATATCTTCAAAATACTACATCATTTAATTGAGAGTGTATATTTCTAGTGATGCTTTTTTTATCTTTAATGTCAAGTTTCAAGAAAAGGTAGTTTATAAAATTACCTTACTTTTTAAATGGAAAGTGTTATTAAATGATATTAAATAACTTTTCTTACTAACCATGAATTATCATTTTTTGTTGCTTTCATTAAGATTTAGAGGGTGTAAGTTATTTAAGGCTAACAAGTAGAGGTGTCAAATGGGTCGAATTGGCCTGGCCTAGCCTGACGTATATGGGACAAATGCTATTTTAGGATAAGCTATCTTGACTTATATTCTTTTTAAGCTGTCATTTTTTGGCCCAACTTGGTCCATGTAGGGCCATCAGGCTAAATTGGCCTAATTAAAAAAATACATTTTAGAATATTAGATCTATTTTGTTACAATTAAAAAAACAAAAACTATTACATGATTAATTGATATTATATACTGTCATGAAACTAGTTTTGTTATCCAACATCATCCCAACATCTAGGTACTTCGAAGATCCAACACATTTAATAATATGATGTATTAAATTATTAGTATATGAAATAACTTTACATGTACACAATTTCTCACAACCATTGCATTTTCATTTATCTACCACACAACTATACCAACCATTTCATAATAATTCTATACCTCAAAAGTATTAGGCTTAGTTTTCTTAGCCTTTTCAATATCTTGGTCTTTGTCATTAATAACCATACTCTTACTTACATTACCAATAGTAGCAAAAGTAGGCTCTGTCTTTTTGTTAGGAGGAATTTCCATTGTATCTAAAGCATCCTTCATGCTATCAAAAATGTCATCAACACTCATAACTATGATATTCAAAATTAAATAAGTTTACCCATTCAGTTCATAGTTCTCACAATGGGTTATAAAGCAACAATAAGCTAATATAATTCTTAATTCAATTTAAAAGTAACAACAACAATCAATAAAGTACAAAGCCAAAATTTAGCTCACGATTCTCAATATGGTGCAAGTGTGACTACGTCTTCATTGAAAAATGGAACAAAGATGGCGGATCACAAGGTCATGCCATCAAGGGCTCAACAAGAGCGGTAAAACTCTCACAACGGCTAACCTTAACTCTAAGCTTGTAACCACTACTCTTGAATCAACACAAAAGAGTGAAAAACTATTAATATTATTATATTTTAATATATTATTTTATAATACATTACATATTTTTAAATTGATGATAGTTTAGATTATTTCACTTATTAGTTTAACGAGTCAGCCTGTAAGCCTATGAGCCAACTTAATTGTGCCTATTTGGCCTATCAAGCTTAGTGGGCTAGGCCAGCCGCCTTATCAGGCCAAACCTAAATTGACAACTCTATTAACAAGGATATTGGTTGAACAACTCATAATCTAGTAAGTATGAAACCATGTAGTAATGACAATAAATTAAATATGCAAATGAAAAAAAATGAAAAATATACATACAAAATGTTAATTAACTATCGAATATTCTTGTTTATGCCTTTAGTGTGAAGAATGAAATGTTAAAGTGATTAGGTTCAAATCCTTTCACGGTTATCCTTCAATAATATCACTCCATACAAACATAAGTTCATTCATAAACATTGAAGTTTAAATTAGCAAGTTTCTTTAAATTAACTTTAATACCTTAATTTCATAGCCTTATAACAATTAACTCAAACATTAAATTAAAAAATTCACAAGAACACATAAAAAAAATAAGTTTTACTCCTAAACTAATCTCAATACAAAATTTAGACACATGCAAAATATTTCATTATGCAAACAACTTGAAATTATTCCATCAATGGTCATAGAAAACATTAAGAGCAAAAAAGATCATTCAATCTCATGAATAAAATTTACATTACATAGAATAAAATTCAACTACAAAGTATGCTTTGTACATGTTAGGGTCCCAACTAATTAGAGCTAAACATTTAGAATCCACCTAGACATTATACACATTTTTAAAAAATGATGAATGCACGGATGCACTGGATTGAGTATTTTGATGGGTATGAAAGTTTAATCATTATTTCCATTATTAGATCATCTTTTTATAACCGACATCATTTTAGGTTTTACTTTGCTAGGTTACTTCTGGTAAACTTGAAGTTTTCCAAGCTTTTATGAACTATAATTTATTTACATGAACTCTTTTATACAGGGCTGAATATTTAATCAAACGAGGTCCTCCCTCTTGGACAAAAAATGCACATGCACTTATGAAGTTGGTAGAAAGGATTGAGGAAGAGGGGTTTGATTCTGCCAAAGATGAGGTACCTCAATTAAGTTTAGTTGTCTCATGATAGAATTTTTATTTAGTGACCATTTTCAGAGGATTTGTATGTTTTAACAAGTACATAATAAAATAATCTATATATATATAACCTTATTTTCTAATGAAGTGGGTTAATGATTATTCTTTGAACAAGCCATGTCTTCATTTCCCAAAGTAGAATATTCATTTATTAAGATTTCTTGGATTTTCAATGGCATTACTTGTCACGGTGTCAAATTTTCATATAGCATTTACTTTGAATTAGTTTCGCAATTAGTTTCTGATCTTATATGTTAGAATTTTATTATTAGAAACACTAACAATTATTAACAAACAAACTCTTTTCATTTACAAAATAAAAAAATAATCACAAATAGTATCAAGGTATTGATTAGGAGTTAAAAATTTTTTAAAAAAAAATTACTAAATTTTATCCTAAAGATTTGTTCTAAAAACTTATTTTAGTTATTGCACGTATTTTTAGACAGAGTACATGACAAGGATATCTACACAGATGAAAACTATAACAACACCACTTCAAAATAATGAAGTCAATCTTTTGCCCTCAAAAGTGCCTAACTCAGGTGAATTCTTCTTTGCTCAATGTATATAGATGAACCAAGTGTTGTTTAGTACATATTTTAGTAGAATTGATTTCAAACTTGTAAAAGTTATTAAAAAAGTATACTAAGATAATTTAAATTGCATATTTAAATTAAAATTTGTTTTTTTAATTGAAATGTATGTGAATTGATTATAGGAGTTAAAAATATTTATTTTAAAAGGTATTATGATAATTTTTTAATCTTTCAATCATATGATTTCACTTTTGACAATAAACTTGATTCGACCTCATTTCCCAATTATTATTTTTTTCTTTCTCAAATATACATGAAACAGTAGTTTGTTATGTATTTTAAGGTTAGTATTTTCCTGTAGATATATACCTATGTTTAAGAATTAATAAATTTTGATTTTTGTATAATAGTACATTTACAATAGTGTATAATATTATATACATGTATTTGTAATAATACATTTAAAAAATAAAAATAAAATTAAGTGAAATTTCATTTTCTAATGAATTTAAGTGTTTTTCTCTCTACTTATTGCTTTATTATTTTCTTTAGGTACTTTGTTTAATGATTTTATCCTTACAGTCTTAAAATAATGTAAATAATTAAACTTTTGTATATAAAAATTTATATAAACATCTTCAATTCATATACTTAATTAAGGAAAAAATCTTAAAGACTAATATAATACATTTACATGCAAAATTTATAAGAGATCAATAGTTGAAATATGTTCAAAAATCTTTTATTTCGTAGAAAACATTTAAAAGGTTATTGCTTCATTTTTTGGTAAGAAAAATTTTATTAGAAATGAGAGTTTAAGAGGTACTTTATCTCAAATATAAAATTATTTAAAAGATCGTATGGATTTAATAAATAAAAATAAGATATAAAATATCAATGCACTAATTAGAAGAAGAAAAAAATTACACATTATTCATGTTGGCCTTAAGCTATGTCATAATCTAACATTTATCAAATTTAAGTAATTATTAAAGTAAAAAAGAGCATCTAAAAACACAATTTTATTGTGCAAAGTCTAAATAGATCATACCAGTCTTACTTATTCAATGATATTCTCTCGTGACTAAATGTCTATGTAAAGTGATAGTTTACTACATTTATTTTAGGAGGATATTGCAATTAGCATCATTCTAACTCATTAACTGATATTTTCTATTGACTAGATGTACATGTTAATTTTATGTTTCTAGGAACAAAAAAAGATGCAAAAACAGAATGGCAAGAACAAATTTATCATAAGGTGACACTAAAATTTTTTATTTGTTTGTACGATTTGACTTTTTGTGTCTTTGAGATATTTCTTGATAATTTTATACATAATTTTTTAATTTTATAATGTGCCTTATACACATTACATACATCAATTAAAATCTCTTCCTCCAACTAATAAACTAGTTACAAATATGCCATGCATGCTTATTAAAATTTCTATTATTTGGAATTTTAGCATATTTTTGTATTTCTATAATTTTAGCAATTATTGATGAATATCTTTCTAGCAGCTTGTTGAATTTTTACTCTATACATTTTTTGTTCATGGTTGTTCATACTTTTGTATGTTGTGATCCTTTACTAACAACTAATAGTAATTAAAAACTAATTTTAGCTCGTATTGTTGATTCTCATAATTAAACTAAAGTTGAAGTTATAAACTAAAAATATTTGTGACACATCATTATTGCAGGTCCAAACAATAGAAAACAAATACTTTAATAAACTTAATATCCTTTACCGAAGTATTTGTAGAAGACATCAACAGGTACACGATATTTTCAAGTCTAATTATTTTCAAAAACTTTCATTTTGCACATTATCTTCCATATGTAATCAATGTTTTTTCTACTACAATATAGCTCGAGTCTATTCCTCATCAACCAAAGACAGCTGAAATGATAAAATGTAAACATCATAAGGAGGCATTGGAGTACATTTTTGCACTCTTTAGAGTGAATAAAAACCAAATTACCCCTGAGTTTGAGCAAAAACTAGATAAGGTGGAAATGTACATACACTTTATTGACCATCCTAAAAATGTTTCTTCACATTCCAAAATTTCTCAAATGGGAGAAACATCTGTAGAGAAATCAACATCACAAGCAATGGGCCTACATAGTTCTAATTTGACAAAGCCAATTTTTCATGCCATGGTAAACCAATTTAGCAATTTACTTCCACAAGAAAATCAAGTGTTTGTTAAACAACAAGGTATAGCTCTTTTCCATAAATGTAAGCAATCAGTTTTTTCATTGCCATAAAAGGTATTTTGTTAATACAAGGTTATTAGTAAACATTATTTTTTTTTATAATTTATATTACCAGGTGATGAAAATGTTGTCCAACAACAAATAAATGGTGAAATAACATCACCTATTATCAACACCTGTGGGATTTTAGCTTCACCCTTGCTTGAAAAATGTAATGAGGTGAAGGAAAATTGTCAAGATGAACCTATCATTTCTGATGATTCAAGCACTGCAATGCAACACATGATTAAAGTGGTTAGCCCATAATACGTTATGTGAAATACTTCATAATAAGTCTTTCTATATACATGCTAAGGCTATAATTGTGATATTTCTAGTTAAACTCGATATCAACTGAAGCGGTGGTGGCATTTTGTGAAGACATAAGAATGGTATTGCATTTGAATGATAACAAGTCAATGTTGGAACCACTAACTGGACCACCAATTGGCGTTATTGGCTCAAAATTGGAGGGAGTTATTGTCACAGATTCACAAGCAAGATATTTGACTCGTTGTGATTTTGATTCTAGAGAATGGAAAATGAATCGTTTCATTAATTCAATGCCTTCAAGAGATAGTATTGTGTTACCTAATGTCGGTAAACCTTTCTCAAATTCAGTTGCTCAGGTAAATTTTCCTAGTGATATAGTATTATATTTGCTTTATAACACACTTAGATGCATAGATCAAGTCTGAAATTTTTTTTAAAATTTAAAAATTATTTAATACTTCATTTCATTAATTCAAATTGACGAATAATCTATTTTACCAAGAGCGAAAGCCTATGATTTTATATCTAAAATATGATTGTGTCTATTATATATATCATCTCATATGTTCATTGATTTCACATGGTTTGGTACCACCTCATTTTATACACACATATACTCTAATTTTCCCACCATGCTTTTGTGAAGTGAAGTACGCCAAGATTTTGTGAACCAAGCATTATTCAATTCATCTAATGAAACCTACATTTCTTATCATTTGTTTCTTGTTTTAAGATTTCATGCCATCATTATTTCATTTGAATCCAAAAATGAAGAAGATGATTATCATTTTCATTAATATTATCTTCATTTTATAAATGTAATTATAAATTATCATCATGGTAAATAAGTGATATATTGTGAAGAGTCAAAATTTATATTTTTAAGGTATCATTTCACAATATTTCATACTAAACATATAAAATATTTGCATTTGAGTTAGAGATAAATCTTATTGATAAAATGATTATCTTAATTTTTTTTTAGTTGTGAATATTGTTTTCTTACAAATTTCAACATTTTGTGCTTATATTATTTAATTGTTTCTTGAACCTTGAATCATTTACTTTATGCCTTATATTTTTTGGTATACATTAATCCTACTATATTAATTTATGTAAAACAATACCTGATATAACAAGCATTAATAACTTTGTAGGAACATTATACTCTTTTAGAAGAAATACAAGAAATAAACAGACAATTAATAGACACTGAGGTAGTTGTTGACAAAGAGAAAACCTTTCAAGGTGTAACTGAAGAAGATATTAAACATGGTGAAGGATTAACTGTTAAATTATCTTTCAATTCAGTGAGTGTTAATCTAGACCCTATGTCAAACCATGCTTCAACAAAGGTGAAATATTTTATATTTTAGTTTTATTTATAACCTTAATTTTTTTCTTTTACTCCTTTTATTGATAATAATTTTCCTCTTGTAGTCAATAATCAAACCGCTTTGGTTGCATGTTCCCACAAGTTATCCACATAGCTCGGTTGTTATTTTAGATGATATGTCATCGGAAGCTAGGTTGGAGAATTATGCCATCTTTTCTTTTATTTTTATCTTTATGCAATTATTCATCTATTTATGCGTAGCTTATATTGATATAAGTATATTTAATTATTATTTCCAATAATTATATTTAAAGGTCTATTTGTATAAAAAAAAATTAAAAGCACTTCTAGGAGAAAAAAATAGGAAGAATAAATGAAATAAGTTTTTCTTATTTTTCCATAAGTTGAAGCTAGCTTATACATAAGTTAAAGATAAATTTTGGAAAAAACCAATATGAAAGAACTTCTTTACAAATTAACTTATGCATAAATTAATGTTAGCTTATAGAGTAGCTTACTTAATTTTTTCTTCTTAGTTTTATACTCTTAAAAATTCTTTTGGAGAAATTTATGCAAACACACCCTAAAAAATTAACATTTTAAGCTTTTCCTCATTTTCAAAATTTGAACATGCAGCAAAGACCTAGACAATCTAACAATAAAAGCAAAGTTGAAGTTGAAGCTTTCTCTAAAACGTCTTGATCAACCATTGTCACTAAAAAATATTGCAATGACATGGGATCATTGTGCTAGAGAAACAATATGTGAGTATGCACAACTTCATGGTGGAGGAACCTTCACCTCAAAATATGGAGGATGGGAGACGTGTCTCGATTCTTAAAGAAGTATGAACTATTAAACATGATGTTTTATTCACTCTGCATTGTTGATGATATAGGTTGTATAAGTCCATTAATTGGGAACAAATCGAATCAATTCATTTTTAAAAAGTATTGTATTTATTTTGAGAAGGTGAACATGTTAATGGCAACACAATAATGTGTTAGGGTTTTTTGGTTCTTAATTATGGGATATTTTGTTGTTCATCAATAGAAGTATGATATTTTGTTGTTCATCAATTATTCACATACACATTGGTGTGAAATTGTTTACTTTGGGCCTAAGCCCTCGTGATTTTATTTTTGGTCATCACCCAAAAGATCTCTTAGTATGTGTGTACCTTATAAATTCTTGCTTATCCTCTTGTTCTAATGATGTAGTACCTTTTTTGTATCCTAACAATCTTTTCCTCAAAAAAGGAACTAACTACCCAATCAACAAAATTTTGTCTTGTCTTATGTCATTGTTGTTGTTGTTTGTTTGTTTGTATGGGTCATGGGTTATCACCAAATTCAACTAATGAGTTGCCACCATATACAACCAATGACATTTAAGTTGTTATTTGTATGAGTTATTAATTGTCATTGAATTCAACCAAAAACTCTAAAACCACTAAGGGGGTATGTTTTGTATTCTTTTTGGGGTATATTTATTCAAGAGTATGGTATTTTATTGTTTTATTGAGTATTTTACACACATCTCTACAATAGTAAGATATTGTCCACTTTGGGTAAGTCCTCATGATTTTATTTATAATCATCATTCAAAAGGCCTCTTACCAATGGAGTATGTTTGTATTTTTTAAACTCTTGTTTATCCTTTTGTTATAATCTATGAAAACTTGTTTGTATCCTAACACAATTTCATGCTTTTAGAGATTGAATGAAGATTGTTAAATATCCTGGATGATAAGGATTTATGATTGATTAATTTTTTAATCTGATTATATATCTTATTTCCAATGGAGTATGTATATATTTTATAAACTCTTATTTATCCTCTTATTCTAATGATTTGAGTCCTTATTTATATCCCAAATAATATCATACTTTAATTTAAAGATTAAACTGAAACTATTGAATATCTTGGATGATATACTGATTAATGATTAGTTCATTTTCTTATATTATTATATTTAGGCTAAAACCAATATTTTAAAAATTGAATTGGTCGTCAAATTGGGTATAAAGGTCAAACTAGTAGGTCACTAATTGAACTACATGACATGATCTCTATTAATTTTTTTTTTAAAATATTCATGTGTCATATATTTTATATTATAAATTTTAATAAAATTTCTACCATGCTTTAAAGAAGTCTTTTGAAAAGAACTATAATCAATATAATAATAACAGAACACCAAATTATATGTTTCTTGAATCGCATAATTAAATATTTAATTTAAAACTTAAAATATATTATATAAATTATTTAAGTCAATTGTATAATAATAGAATATGTTAGTTTAGTGGCTACTAACTTATTAAATAATCACATTCATCTATGTCTAAATCCTATCTTTAAATAAAATATAATTTAATATATTATATAAATTATATATTATATTTGTTACATATGATAACAAGAAATCATTTGCCTTAGTTGTAAGACATTTACTTATACATGGAAATAGTTTGTGTTCAAATCTCACATTTAACACTTTTAAGGATATTTTATTTAGACTTTTGAGTGTATCACCACACCACCCAAAGATTAACCAGTTCGACCAGAAAACCTGTTGGGCCAAATCAGGTCTTAATAGGCTGATGACATATTCGATCTAATGTGAGTCAATTTTTAAAACTATGACTAAAATAAAAAATTTTTCCTTTATTTTTAATTTTTATTTTAGTATGATCTTTTAATTTTGAAAATTTTAACTTTAATCCTTTAAAATGTCTCTATTAAATTAAATTAGTCCTTTTGTCAATTTATAACACTTAAAATACATATCATTGATTTCCCATAAAAGTTATTTCAAAATAAAAAAAATAACAAGAATGTTATTTAAAACACTTTGTGTACCAATTCTAAAAAAATTTTTTTAACCAATTTTAACTACAACTATCAATTTGGGTTCGGCCTAATGGGTCGACCTGACTAGCTTGAATACAAGACCAGATTAGGCCTTGAAAAGGATAGATTAAATATAAGACTGATAATAAATACACCTCCACTCTCGTATAAACACACCCCTTTTTTAAAAAAAATATATAAAATGTCTAAATTAACCTTTTAAAAAAAATGAAATTCCTAAATTTACACCTCCCTTCCCCGCACCCCCCTTCCCCGCACCCCACACTCCACACCCCTCTTCTTCCCAAAGCCTCTTTTCATTCAATGTCATTAAGCAATATATTTTTACAGTCATTCTGAATAGAAAAAAAGGACTAGCCCCACCATAACCAACATAAGAAAGGCTCTTTTACAATCATTAGCATTCCGGAAAGTACTTTTACAGTCATTAGCATTCTAGAAAGTACTTTCCGGAATAGTAAAATTATTGTTCATATAATTCCGGAAAGAACTTTCCGTAATAGTAACTTTAATATTATGGAAAGTACTTTATGAAATTATGTAACAAAACATTTCCGGAAAATACTTTCCGGAAGAATTTAATATTATGGAAAGTATTTTCCGGAACATTTTTATATAATTCCGGAAAGAACTTTCCGTAACAGTAAGAAGAAGAAGAAGAGGAGTGCCAGAAAGAGAAAGAAGAGGGGTGTGCGAGGTGCGGGAAAAAAAAAAGAAGAAGAGTAGTGCCAGAAAGAGAAAGAAGAGGGGTGCGCAATGTTAGCAGGTGGTCTTGTAAGAGAAAGACTCTTACTTGTTCTATGGAAAGAAACACTAGTACAAAAATAACTTTTAAAATCGGGGTTTTAAAATCAGTCATAAGGTAATCATTTTAAAAGTGACGCGGTGGCCTGTACTGCAACAGAACGGCCCCAGAACGGCATGTTCTGCAAGTAGAACGGGCCGTACTACTTGCAGACGGGCCGTTCTGCAAGCAGCACGGACCGTTCTAAAAGTAGAACGGCCCGTTCTGGTGCCGTTCCAGACTAAAGTTTACATGCAGATACAGGATAATGTTCCATGCATGTACTTTTTACGCAATGGTTGAACCTTATGTATGCATGTGATGTCTCTGTATTGAGAAAGAAATCGGCCAGGAATGGATTGTATACTTCAAATTCTGAGTAAACAATCCTAACTCGAGCACTTATATAAAAGAAAATCATTGTAAAGAAGCTTTAGTATAAAGGATACTTACCAGAGTCAAATCCTTCACCGGCAAAGAGCCTTTCTTATGCTGGTTATGGTGGGGCTAGTCCTTTTTTTTTATTCAGAATGACTGTAAAAGTATATTGCTTAATGACATTGAGCGGAAAGAGGCTTTGGGAAGAAGATGGGTGTGGAGTGTAGGTGCGGAGAAGGGGGGTGCGGGGGGAGGTGTAAATTTAGGAATTTCATTTTTTTTAAAAGGGTAATTTAGACATTTTATATATTTTTTTAAAAAAAGGGGCTGTGTTTATACGAGAGTGGAGGTGTGTTTATCATCTGCCTAAATATAATAGATCATTTTGGTCCAACTCGTTAAGCCTCACAAGCCAAATAAGCTTAAGTCAAGTTGGCCCACAGGCTTACGAGCTAGCTCGTTAAATAAATAATGGAAATAATTAAAAATAGAATAAATCTTTAATGTGTTATAAAATAATTAAATAAAATGTAATAATTCTACAATAGTAATAATCTTTCATTTTTTTTTATAGTTGATTATGCTTACAAGTTTAGAGTTAAGGTTAGTTGTTTTAAAATTTGTCGCCCTCATAATTCCATTGCCTCTTGATGACTTGATCCTATGACTCATCATCTTTGTTCCATTTGTCAAAGAAGATGCAGGAACAATCATGCTTGCACATGTTCTCATAAAAGTGACAATAATGACTCGCCATCACTGCTTAGACCACAAAATTATAGGGAACCGCTTCGCTATGTAAGAAACCTTCTTTCTCTTTATGATATGATTTTTTTTCCTATTCAATTGTTCACATATATTTACTATCTAATAAGTTTTTTTATGTTGCGATATTTTTCCTATCTCATTTCAGTTATCATATATTGCTTTGTTGCATGTTGTTGGTGTTGCCCTGGCTCCTACTCTTACCAAATACCAAGTATGTTATTTTATTTTTTTAG